GACAGGGCTAGAATCCACACCCAGGACACACTCTGACTTCAGAGCCAGAGCTTGTAATCAGTCCCCTGGATAGAGGTGGCCATTGCACTAGGAAGAGAAAAGGGACCATATGGTAGCCTTTCTGGACAAACTAATCAGTAAAAGTTCCCTCTTCCCTCCAGGCAGAGGGGTGAGAAACTTGGTGATCAGAGCGTGGGCTGGATTTTGTTTTAGACTTGCTCTTCTCAACTGCACATCTTTGTGTACAAGTGCAGGCAGCATCCTGACCCTGGGCCCAGGAGCCCACGTCCACACCAAGCTTGTCTCTCGCCTGTGTCGGAAATGTTTCACAGCCAGCTAGCTCTGAAACACAGACACACAGACACACACACACACACACACACACACACACACACACGCACACACAGAGTCTTATGCTGTTGTGATTAAAGCTGTTAATTTATTCATAGTAAACTTTGTTATTTACATATTTTAATGGATAGTCATTCAGTTGCTATTATGTAGAGATTTGTGAAATAGCTGTTAAAGGAAAGATGGTCTCCTCACTTACAGGTTGAGAGCTACAGTTCTCCTTATGGAAAGATAAAGTCTTATTAACTTCTGAAACAGGCAAGACAGATGACACTGTACCAGATTGTGTTTTATGCTGTCTTGGGGCCATTAACAGAGGAAAGCAAAACACTTAGAAGGAAGATGGAAGGAGGTAGCTGTCGAGGGTAGAAGGGATTAGAGTAACTGATGGGGACAATTTTAAAACCAGAAAATGATGGCATAGAACATTTCTCTTGCTTCTTTACAATAGTTGGTGACACTTTCAATTCGCCAACTTGGAAGGGGGAGCAACAAAAAGTTTGAAATTGCCAGCCGAAATGGACTTGAGAAATACATCTTGCAGGTAAAGTTCATGCCTTCCCCATAGGTCTCCTCTACTCTTTTCCTATTGTGTTCCCATGACTTGATAAGTGTTTTCTCTCATTATTCTAAAGGTCACTGGGAGAATAAAAGCCTCGTGCAATTAATATTCAGGTTGATCTGATACTCATAGCATTTTCTTACCTGTAATTGCAGGCAGCTTCGAAAGAAATCAGAGATTGTTGGTTTTCAGAAATCAGTAAATTATTGATGGAACAACAAAACAATAAGAAAGGTAGGTTATGCCCGCTGACTTAGTTTGGAAACTTATATTGATTCCAGCATTGTGGTGGGTATGCAGATTGGGGATATTGTTAAAGAAAATGGTTTGCCAAGGAGATAACTGTGGCCAGTCCCTGGTGGCACCTGTGTTTTTGCTTTAGGGCGTATGGGGTTTTGTGTGTGTGTGTGTGTGTGTGTGTGGTTGTGTTGGTGTGTCCCTTTTAGTTGTGCTTCCCCCACACACCTAATTACCAAAGTTAACTTCTCAATCAAAAATCCCAAAGCCACCCAAAAAAGTGTTAACAGAGATTCAGATGGCCAATACCGCCTTTGAGAAATTGTACTCCTTTTTTTAAACATGAGATATAATTAACATACCATAAAATTCACTCTCTTAAAGCATACAACTCAGGGGGTTTCAGATTATTCACAAGGTTGAGTAACTACCACCACTCGAATTCTAATTTTAATTCCAGGACATTTTCATAAGCCCTCAAGTCCTGTGCCAAGTAACAATTATTCCCCATCTTTCTCCTCCCTCCAGCCCCTGGCAACCACTTATCTGCTTTCTGTCTCTATTGGATTTTCCTATTCTAGACATCGTATACGGATGGACTCACATAAAATGTGGCCTATTCTGTCTAGCTTCTTTCACTTGGCATAATGTTTTCAAGTTTCATCTACTGCAGCAATATCAGCACTGTGTCCCTTATTATGGCTGAATATAGTAGTCCATTGTATGGATCTGCCACATTTACTTATCCATTCATTAGTTAATGAACATTTGGGTTGCCATCAAGTTAGCTTAAGTTTGAGAGTGCTGTTTTTGTTTTGTTTGTTTTTTAATTTCAGGCCAAGAGAAGCTACAGGTTGAAGCAAGTATTAGGTGAGTTCTGATTTTTTTT